TTTTTCAGGTAAATTACTGATGACATGGTACTGATTTGTACTAAACCAGTGCTTGCAAATTGACAGTGTTTATTTTATTATTGTATTTGGGATTCTGTGGAGGCTTATAAGCACTCAATGTCCTAAAGTACTGTATGTAGCACTCTAAACATTCTCAGTTTGGGAAAAACAGTAAAAAAAAAAATCAGATCAACCTTATTTAGATCAGGAACTAGCATTCCAGAACCTAAAGACCGTAGATCCCAATTAAGGCCGTAGGTCCCAATTGAGGCCATAGGTCCCAATTAATCTACAATTAAACCAAAATTCAACAAAAAGTCAGTTTCTGATAAGAAAAGAAATATCAGAAAATTATGGCAAAACTAGGTATCAAAGTTTTGAAATTTTGAAATGTGTAATGGATTTTATGTTCCTTATAAATATAACGTTAAAAATATTTATACCTTAATATTCTTTAGAGAAATATTTATTGGTAATACCTCATTAAAACCATCACCTTATATTTACTTATAAGTGGTTGCATGTTTGTACTGGTGTGTTTTTTTAGATGTATTGCTGTTGAGGAGCTAATGTCCCTATTCCACCAGTACCAACTCACAGAGGGTTGATTTGATTATTAGTATTTAATTAAGCAATAATAAGCATATTAAGTCCGTGCTTGCTTGCTTCAAATTATTCAAAGTTGCACTGAACATTTAGCGTCAGATGACTGTCGGTCGCTGATCGGTTAGGGGCGGTCTCACATATCACTGCAATTAGTGTGTATTCTAATAACTTATCTCTTAGACCATTAAATTAGTTCACACTGATCTTATAGTGTATGAATCCTGTTACTCTGACATGAGAGCTGTCTCGGAGCTTGTCTGCCTGGCTCTGTTCTGTGGATCTGGTTTACAGTTGCCTTTTGTGTCTCTGCTTCTGTCTCCTTGAACCCCAGTCGGCCTCGGCAGATGGCCGCTCACACTGAGCCTGGTTCTGCTGGAGGTTTCTTCCTGTTAAAAGGGAGTTTTTCCTCTCCACTGTCGCTACAAGCATGCTTAGTGTGAGGGATTGCCTTTGAGTCAATGAGTCGATGCAATCAACTGGTTTTCCTTAGATAGCAAACTTTTAATCAGTTTAACTCTATGATCTGGAGAACTGTAAAGTACCTTGAGATTACCTGTGTTATGAATCGGCGCTATATAAATAAACTTAATTGAAATCAAATTGAATTATAGCAAGCTAGCATTAGCTTACCTTCTTATGTGCTCTAGCTAGTCTTTCACATAGCATCACTTTCTCTCTCCCTCTCCCACATCGTTCTTTGTAACACCCTCCAGGACTGATGGCACGATTACAACATTGACTAACCTTTGGTCCGCTAAGGCCTATTACCAAATACACTTAAGAAACACCTCAATATCATACAAGGTTTTTTGCTTTGGGCATTCCTCATGTAGCGATCACAGATCTACTGTAGCAACAAAATATAGTTAATAATTAGATCAGTGAAACCAATCCCACCAATGACACCCTACAGATAGCAATATCATCACTCACTTGGACACTTATATTTCCCAGGATAACTACACCAGCTGGAGAATCCTACTGGTCTAAGTAATCTGCATAGAAAAAGACAAACCAATTTTCCTTCTTGGAAGGCAATAAAGGGGCAACCCCCTGGCTCAGGTTCAAACCGTCCTTGTTGTCGTCTTCCTCCGCTTATCCGGGGTGATGGGGGCAGCAATCTCAGTAGAAACTCTCAGACTCACAGTGTCCTTACAGAAGACACTGCTGCTAGGGTGAGCAGGCCAGCTGAAAGACATGGTCCCTCCAGCATGTCCTAGGCCATCCCCTGCGGCCTCTTCCCGGTGGGACAGGCATGAAGCACCGCCCGATGGAGGCGTCCAGGAGGCAACCGCAACAGATGTCCAAGCAACCTCAGCTGTCATCCCTCATGTTGAGGAGTGGTTTTACTCCATGCCCCTCCTGGATAGCCAAGCTACTCACCTCATCTCTAACTGATTCACTGGGAAGAACTTCATCAAACATTGCAGTCTTGGAGTGAAACACTAAGCAGTTTACATTTATGAAAATTGGAATTTAGATAATAAACTGCTTATTGTAAAATAGAATATTTTGAAACCACCCTGACAAAGTAACTGACTGATTGAAAGTAAATGCACTGTGAAAATAGAGAAATCATTCTATCAATGTCTATCAGGAGATCAGAACGTGAGATCTTAAACTTAAAACTCTGCCTCCAGAACAATATAGTGGTTTTATAAGGATTTTTTGGTTCAAATTGTTTCATCAAGAAATCGGCAGGTCTAAAAGTACAACCAATTCATTCAGTCAGTACTTCCTCTCACTTGAACTTGCCCTTTCTTTAAAGCAATATTGAAACTCTTGTTTTAACAAATAAACATCTTTCCATCCTGCTATGTAGCTATTGCAGTGTGTTGTTGGTCTTTTGACAGTAAAACAATTTTGCTTGCAATCTAGAAACCCATTACACAATTCAAGAGACCGGTTAAAAGCCGCTCAGCTGTGGTTCAGCTTCAGCTCTCTGGGTTTAGAAGACACAATAAAACACCACACTTCAAACAAAGAATAACAGTAACAGCCTATCAAGTCAGCTGTGCCTCAAACTACATTTTTGAGAAGTATTTGGAGTCTGAACTCTGATGATTATATACTTGCATTACACTATTTTGTAAAAAAAAAGAAAAAAAAAAAAACTCTAAGGAGCTGTTATAGTTGTTTGGACAGGCTTTGAGAATTACAAACCTTGTGACAATTAAGGAGAATGTAAAACTACTCTAAACATCTATTTAAACACCAAATATTTGACCAAGGCTCAGGGAATCAGGTCCACAGATTTAAAAATGTCATGGAACTGTCAATAAATCTGCAAGAGCCAACTAATTTGTCAGACACGAGTTTAAACAATTGAGCTCTGTTTTATAACAGCCCTCAGACTGTTATCCTTAAATAATGGTATAAGACAAACACACAATGGTGTCAGACAGCTTTAAAGCAATTTCTATGTTTATCCCTCAAGCATTTAGTCTAAAAGTGCCTCATCCCTTTATTCATCAATTAATCAATCCATTCATCCATCCATTCGGCCAAATAGACCAGAGCCCGCAGGCTGCTCTAGATAGGAAGAGATATATTTGGTCCTTTGCACAAGGGTAGGACAGAGTGTGTGTACAGTAAAAAAAAAATCCTTATACATGTTTAATTGTAGGTTTACTTCAGACAGAGTGGTGAGCACTGCTGGGGCCTCCTATGATTTGTTCTAAATAGAAACCTCAATCTAGTTTTCAAACAGCTATATCCACTGGAAAACTTAGCCCAGTAAAGCTCAAATTACTCTGCCATTTGAAATATAACTAACCTGCAGGGGATCTCATCGGAAGGTGGTTTTATAGTTCACATTATCTCATCTGCTTTTCTCCTTTAGATTTATAGTTTTCCATTAGATTTAAGAAACCACTTGTGGTTATAGAAAACTTAACAACATTTCTAAGCAAACAGTTATTGCAAAACTGTGACCCTTACCTCAACTTTTTTATGGTGCGTTCATACCAAATACAGACGTACTGGTCGCTTATGTGAAGGACATATTTCAAATAAAGTAAATTCAATGAATTGGGCGAATAGGAGTGTTAGACTCGAAAAAAGACAGATCCAAAGTTTTCCTTTGGGTCAACAATCTGAACTTTTCTGTCAATTTAAAGTCACCCATCAGGGACTGGATTTGGTTATGATGTAAGGAGAAGAAGAGCAGCAGAGACAACAATTTTATGATTAAAACCCACCAAAGGGAGATTATTCCACTGATGCAGGGCAGCAAGTCATGATAGTGGGTCCTGTACTGCTGGAGAGGACTGTAATCCATGTGTTCCGTGTGAGCATACCTTTATAATTCTTCTTACATTCTAACCACCGGCATTACACTATTACTGTTACTGCAGGAAAATGTATTTATTTCACACTTTCACTTCTACACTCCAAACATTACTGGTGCTACACTCACAGAAATATTTAACCCTAACTTTTAAGAATTATGTAAAATAATTAATAACAAAGTTCCATTTGATTTTTTAAATATTTTTAACATAAACAGACCTAATAAACTTTACATGATCCATATGCATCAGTGTAATAAAGCCTATTCTTTTTAAATGCATATTCCCTAGGTTTATGTATTCAGCTTTAATATAATTTATTGAATTTAAATGCATATTGTTCTGATTATATATTTAAAATACATTAAGTATATTTGTTCGAATTACATAGTAATTAGGTTACCTATTCAAGATGAATAACGTGTATGTGTTTAAATTACATAACAATTAAGCTTATATTCAATCAAAATGCATTCGATTTATGTATTTATTATTAATATCCAATAATCTTTTTCTATAGGGTTAGGGTTACGATTTATATTCAATGCATTTTTTATTCACCATGATTGTGTATTTGTTTGAGATTATACAACATCTCAATGATGCATACAATCAGACCACCTCATTTATTAACATTAAAGCTTCTCTTCACACAGACATTGTACTCAGCAGGTAGTGTAGCTCTTCAACCAAGTCATACTTGGAACATGAAAAATGTTTTCTAATATCATTAGAACAAAGGTAAATTATCTGCTCCAACAATGGCAGTAAAGGACCTGCTCTTTTTATCTAAAACAAACTACAGGCTCAAGAACATTCAATACATTATCACACATACGATTCACACATCAAAAACTCATCACTTGAGAGGAACAGGTTTTCTTTTAAGTACACACCATTTCTTGGTCAGTGCGACTGCTCTGTGTTCTGTGGGTATTAATAACTCTATTCAACACTTCAGCCAAATCAAGTACATATCGCAGTAATGGGATATATTGAAAGGACCTGCAATTTTTTGGATCTAGAACAAACTCTACAGGCTCAACAACATTAAACACTTTTTTTAAGCAGTAGTTAACTGAGCACCTTCTGTTTCTAGCTTTCTGTGTGTTCGATGTGTGAATCTTCAAGGCTGCGAATGTACAGGAACACTATAAACACTTTATCGGCATGTATGGGCGGTCTCTTCCTGTACTTCCTCCTCCCATCACCGCCCAACCCCCAAAAAATTGTCACCTGAGCAATTTGAGTTTCAGTGTTCGTACTTTGGGGGAAAGTTTAGACGATTCCAGGTCCATCAGGATCTTCTGGTAAGCTTCGAATATATTCTTCAAGCTTCTTGGATAGCTCAGATTAAGAGCATAGATCAACCCATAAAGCATTACACATGCATGGTTGATACTTTGGAGGTTGTGGAGAACTTCAACCCCTTCCAGGACCACGCCGACATCTGCCAAGAGTCCACCAGGACCATCATGATCATCACCCTCAGCTTGAACGGTGTAGATTGCCATGGTTGTCCCTGCGACATCTGCCTCTGACTCACTGCATTCCATGTCCTGAAAGATGGAGGGAACAGAGAACAATGAGGTGTGTCACCCTCACCTTTGACCACCAAATTCTAAGCAGATCATCATTGAGGCCAAGTGCATGTTAATTTGAAAAAACTCAAAACAAACAAGCCATTGGACTCAATGACGAACTATTGGTCAAGGTCAATGCGACCTAATGCCAATCACATTTTCATGAACACTGCATGCTATCAGGCACATCTAGAGGGAAATTAATAACATCTGGCACAAAGAAAGATGACATACATACCACGTATTCTTTGACCAATGTGTCCAGGTCTTCACAGAGGTAGATCCTGAGACATCTCAAAATGCAATCACGCCTCACGTTGATGTCTTGATTCTGAAACAAACATTACACGATTCCATGCCATTAGAAATGAATGCAACAGATTTTTTTTAATTTAATGATTAATGTTGTTTTATACACAATCATTTACAGGCTATGTTAGTCTTAGGTTCAATATGTGCAAAAATGTAATTTCAATAAGTTCTCATTAAACAACCAGTCTGGCCCTTGACTTGTACAAATAAAAAGTTTTGGCCCACGGCGTATGAAGTTGACACCCCTGGGTTAGACTAAAAAAATTTCTTACATTCTCCATCTTTGCCATCATGGCTCCGATTTTTTTCCCTGCAACTCCCCCTTTAGTGTTGAAAACCCCGATCAAGTCGTTGGTCAGGCGGTCAAGTTCCCCCAAAAATTTCGAGGTCAGTGGTACAGTTGTCAGCCGCATAAACTCCCACTTGATCTGTAAAAGACAACAGAGACAGGACACAGACTTAGACAGGGGTGGCTGTTGCTTAGTTGGTAGAGGGGTCAATCATAGAACAAAGGTCAGTGGTTCAAATCCCAGCCTTGACTGTCCACGTGTCAAAATGTCCTTGAGCGAAACAGGATGTGATACACAGCCTGAGACCGTGTACTGGCGGAAGAAGCAGGTCGAAAGTGCATGAGAAAAAAAAAGCGCTTTGCACAGAATCATCGACATGCATGACCTTGACAGTAATATGCTAAAAAGACACTGTATCTGAACGGCCCAGAAGAATATATACAGTAAGTTAGTAAACTTCAGATTCACACTTGCCTCAGTGACGTCCAAGAGTGCTGGCCATTTATTGAAAAACTCAGGAATCTTTGGCTCCTGGAGAACCTCCTGTCTCCTGAGGGAGAATGTACGCTGCATCTTGGCCTTGATGAGGTTCTCATCCCTTTTCTTCTTTTTTACCTGAAATGGAATGAAACGTCAGTAAAGATACTTGTATAACGAGATATGATGAGAAACTCTCACCAATGGTGCAAATTACAATTGGAAACAGAAATATTAACAATATGATTAGGGAGTAAGATTATTTTACAAACCGAGTGTAAAAGAAAAATTAACTGTGCAAAGTAACCACAAAACAGCTTAAGTGTCTAGTGCTGTGCAAAATGAACTGTTGAGCTGCTTGAGTATAGTGCAAAAAACATGACGGGTGAAAAGCTCTTATGTACATACTGGCCATGCCATGAACTAGGGCTGGGCGATAATTCAATAACGATATATATCGATCCATAGACGTGTGGCGCAATAGAAAAAAAGAGGGCCGATAAAAGTTTGATAAAAAAGAAACGCAGTTTTCCTTCCTTCTTATTGTAGCCTAGCATGTAAGTTTATGCTAGTCATTACTTCCTCCCAACCAATCGCAATGGCAGACCCAGGCACGCCGTCACCAAGCGCCGCCCTCTCAAACCACAACACAGAGCACATGAAGATGTCGCAGCAAGGAGAGGCGGAGGAAATTGTTCCAAAGAAGGGTTTTTGTAGTTCGGCAGTCTGGCAGTATTTCGGTCATGGCAAGTCGGACCAAAAACAAACCACAGTCATCTGTAAAATGTGTCGGGAACCAGTGAAAACCAGTCTGATAACGAAACCAACTTTTTTTTTTTTTTTTTTTATCATCTCACACCCGCAGGAGTACGAGCTGTGTAGGCCCCGATGCGGCTCTCCTCCGTGGAATCTTTGGGAATTACGGGAAAATATATATATATATATATATATATATATATATATATATATATATTTTTTTTTTTTTTTTTTTTTTTCAGTTCTGGGCAGTTTCCCACGTAGTTCTAACAATTGAGAGAAAAATGCTGAGGGGCCAGAAACTTCAAAGTAATAACTCAGGTTAAAGCAGGAAACTAAGCTGAACCAGGTTCAGCTTAGAAGGATGGGGGCAGCGGGGGTGGAGGGTCATTTATTTATTTGTTATATTTCTTTTGGTCACTTTTCTGGTCACTTTAGTTTATTCTTTGTCAGTATTTAATAACATAACCCAGGTCTCTTAAGTTACTTTTTTTTAAAACAATTCTGTTATGGTTAAAAAAGTTGGTTAAATAAATATTTAATTCGAAGTCTGTGTTTGTGTTTTTTATTAAAATTAAATCATTTAGCAATATTATAAAAAGTCCAGGCAGAGCTGCACATAAAATATGGTTTCAAATCTTTTCAATAATTATCGTTATCGATCATTATGCATTTTTTTTTATCGATAAGCTTTTTTTCTATATCGCCCAGCCCTACCATGAACATGGTGTAATCATGGGTAGATAAGATAAGATTTAATGTATTGCACATTATACCTCTGTCAGTAGAGCCACCCTTTCCATCTCCAAACTGTCTTTTGTTTCACCACTAGCTAACTGCTAGCTAACGTAAGCTAGCTAACGAATTGCTAGCTAACGTTAGCTAGTGGGTGCCAGTGCAAAAGGTAGTAGGCCTCAAGATAAAACTGCTTACAATCATCACGAACTATGCAGATTTCATCATCAGTGAATCGCTATTAATGTAATACGATAAGAACTGCACAAATAATACACAGATTGATGTAATAAGACAAAGGATGACTTGGATTACTCACCGTTAAATCTTATCAGAGAAGATGGCCTCCAGCCGAAAATGAGGATGTCATTACCTGATGTCATTTCCTGTTTTAGCTTACAGGTAGCGTGTATGCAAACCGATCACATACATTTTAAATAAAAGAATCTAATTCGTTTCACAGCTTTGATTATTTAAACCATGTTAATATGTATTAAGTAACTACATTTAATATAATTTAAAATTGACAGAATTATACAGATTATAATTAATTTCAATACATCAATTTTAAAAATATTTAATTTAAATAAAATCTAATAGATGTATATGCTTAAATATAAAGTCTACCATGATTCATTTCTGTGAGTGTATCCTCTACAGGGACACTGCAACAGTCTTACTGTTCATATAAAGTTGATTTTTTCAAAACTTGGAAGAAAGTGTGGACTGCTGAAAGAAGCGTGGTGAACTGGTGACAGAAAAGTGCAATGGCGTGCTCAAAGATGACCCTGCACATTTTGAGTATGTTTAGGTCAACCAGCTGCTGTGAAGCAGGATTCTCCACCATGAACAGAATCGAAAATAAATATCGATCCAGGCTCAAATTGAGCACCTTGAAACGTGCTTTAGAATGGCTTTGTCTCCAATCAAACCCAGGTTTAAAGCCTTGCAGGGCAGCATAAAGCCCACTGCTCTCATTAAGACAGAAAAAAGAAAGAAAAAACAAACTAACGGTCAGTTCAGGTGTTTTAAAAAAATATGTGAATCAGAAAATTTTCTATATACCAAACTGAATTATTGTTGTTCTCTACTTCAAAAAACAATTTAAATTTTAAAATGGAAAAATGTTCCATTTCTTTTAAATATATATTTTATTTAAAAAGTCAATGTATAATATGGATACATAAAAACCACATTCTATTTCAATGTGAAATTCTGTTTAAAGTAATGGATTATAATTAAAAATGTCTCCGGACTGGTTGCTGAGTTTCTTTATTCGGACCCCGCCAATTTTTAATCGGTTACCCCTGCCCTAGAAAAAGGATATTAATATAATTTGTTTAAAGATTCGTTAATCAAATTAATCAGTTCATGAAATTGTGGTTTGGGTTTACAAATAAATTGAGTTATAGAGCTTTAACTGCATTTTCTGCTCCTTTGCATTTATAATAGGCAATCAGCATGGCTTTAGTGATATTGTATTAATTATAGAACTTTAATAGAAATGTATTTTTCCCAAAAGCTTTCACATGTAATAAATATCAAACAAAGCTTACCTTATTTTGATGTTTAAACAACCAAAATTCAGTCTGTTCATATGAAAAATGTAAATATAAAACTTTATACTCATCTATTCTAAATGATGTCTGTTCTATCTCATTTCATTTGTATATTATGTGAGAAGGGTCTGCATGGTGGTACAGTGCACTGTTACTGTACCTTGCAGGCCTGGGTTCGATTACTGGCCTTGGGTCTTTCTGCATGGATTTTTCATGTTCTCCGTGTACATGTGTGGCTTTTCTCCGGGTACTCCGTCTTACTGCCACAGTCCGAAAAACATGATTTTCGATTTGTACATTGAATGACCAAACTATCGCTATCACAGCCCAGCATGAAACACCAATGATTCAGGCATTAACAGAGAGTGAGTCACAGAACCAAGACTTTGTGCAAATTTCAACTAAACTGAGAAAAGAGCTAATCAATTAATGGTAATGATTTCATGCAATTTGTTCACACAAACATGTTGTCTAATTGAATCTTTTTTATGACCAACCAAACAGTATTTCTGTTACTATGTTGCTTACTTGCTACTTCTACTGCTTTACTCTAATTAATACATATTAACATATGTATCTTATAACTAAACTGTAATTGTGTTTTTGCTAAACTGTCACTGTTTTGCTCATCATATTTTTTGCTACACTGTTCTGGATTTGGCAACAATGTTCCTGCATTTTACAACAATGTTATTTGCATTTCTCTGTTACCACTTTGTATATTGTTACTGTATCTTTACTGTTACAATTTTTTGCCACATTGTTAAAGTTTTGTACATTGTAACTGAACTTTTTGACTTTACTTTTACTACATTGTTGGTTTTCTGATTCATTGTTACTATTTTGCCTGGACATTTATTGTAATTTTCTTCTCTGCTATCGTTTTGCTTCATTGTTACATTTTTCTGATGCATTGTTACTGATTTTTCTCCACTATTAATCTACAGCTAGATTGTTACGGTTTTCGTTACTCTGCAATTGACTATGTCTACGCTCTTACTCTTAATTTACACTTTATAGCTCCTCCCCACTGATTTACATTATGCCTTCACCACTACAAATCTTTAATCTACTGTATGTGTGGTTTTCTTGGCTATATTGCTTCTGATTTTGCTATGCATTCCTAATGATTTTTCTCCACCTTTTTTTTCAACAAACTTTTTGTAGAAAAGTGAAAATACAAACAATGATGTCCAAGCTCAAGGAAAAGCAACTGAATTAAAACTTTTGGAAATTTAGAAGCTGGAATAAATCACTAGGTTAATTTATCATCCTGAATGATCATTTGGTGCTGCACGGGTTACACCTCCTTGCTGAAATCTGATCACAGTACAAGGCTGATTCTCCCAATCTGTGAAAAAAAAAACAACCCAAAATGCACTAACATAAGTTTTCAATTATATGTTTATCCATATGCCAACGCTTGTTAGACACACAAATCCCGAGTCAGATATTAGATAATTTCCCTGTTCTATGTAAACCTAGAAATTGACTTACAATTTTGGAACTCATACATCAATAGCCTTTAATACAACTGCTCACTGTAATGACATGACATTGAGTGTAAAAGTGTAAAATATATCAAAGTAGCATTTATAGTTCTTTTGAAGGAAACATAGAGCACAGAAGCACAAACAGATGGCAGCCTGTCAGAGCAGAGAGATTAGTCTGTGGTTGGCATAGAAACTGAGCATGGACACTTCAGGTTAAAGGGTAAAACCACTCATCCTCAGCTATAAAAGGAAGACAATTCTCTAGCTATACAATCCAATAATTTTTCAATTGCAATGAAGAAAAATTACATTAATCAACTTTAATTATGTATATATATATATATATATATATATATATATATATATATATATATATATATATATATATATATATATATATATATATATATATATATATACACACTGCAAAAAAATTTAAATATCAACAAACCTTTTTTTTCTTCAAATAAGTGCATTTTCTTTTGAATTAAGGAGGTAAGTGAGACACTTTGCCAATGAAAGAAGGCAATTTAAATTTAAAATAAGAAAACGCAAATGCATTGTCTTTTTTCAAGTGCATATTTGCATATTATCGAATTATCTTTTTTCAAGAGTAGAAATGTTCATTCGAATTAAGGGTAAATACACTTCATTTTTTTCTTAATTGTTTTTCTTAATTTTTATTCATTTTTAGATCGTTTTTGCAAAAATGATTTAAAAAACAAATTTGTAAAACTGAGTACATATATATATATTTTTTTTTTCTTGAAGTAATATAATATATATTATATATATTGTATATATTATATATATATTACTTTATATATGTATTAATGAACTTGCATAATAATATCAATAAAATCATGTAATTTTATTGATATTATCATGCAAGTTCATTAATATATATATTACTTTATATATGTATTAATGAACTTGCATAATAATATCAATAAAATCATGTAATTTTATTGATATTTGCATGCAAGTTCATTAATTATTTCACATGCTCTGAAGTGCACTCTTTGTTTTCTTTAAACTCTTCACCAATCTATATCATCACTGCTAAAGCATTGGAAATGTTAAAACATTTCAGTATCTTACTGCAAAAAACGACTTAACCTGTTTCCCCCCACTAAGTTGATTTTTTACTTATAATGCTAATTTATTGAAGTTAGCTGGTTACATAAAATCAGGTATAAAGTGCCCCCACTCTTACTATTTAAAATTGCCCTGAAGGTTTAACAGACTTTAGAGGCATTCCTTTGGGGTTTTTTTTCTACAGTTTTGGAGCAACTAGATGTGCTATAGTGTTATAGGAAGCATGTATGTGTAGAGAAACAAGTGTCAAGCATATCAAGCAACCCTTCCTAATCCTTTTCTTGATTTTGAAACATGATCGTTCACTAATTTTCTGTTGAGTTTAGCTGTGTGATAGTGCTACCATTAGCTTGTATGGAAACATGAACAATAAGAATTGTTTTCAGTTGTAGTTTTAGTTTCACTATACCATCCAAGACTGATTACTCTCTGGCAACTGCAGCTTTGTAAAACATGTTGGCTTTGTCTGAACGTTCGCCCTAACCCCTAAAGCTGAGTTAATACTTGACGTGTCCATGAGGTAGTAGAGCGGCCATATCATTTTGTGCTTCTGCGCCCCTCCATGCAGACTCCATGTAGACAGAATTTCCGTTCCGAGCCCAAAGGAAAATTTGTAACTATGTGGATGATCCAAGCGGAAAACATGACTAACGAGAAGCAGCTCCTGGTGGCAAGGGTTCGCAAATGTCATCATCCACAGACATCCTGTGATTTAGCTTAAAAATATCACCTCTATCAACATATTGTGGAAAAACTCCGAGAAATAAATTATTGTCGCTCTCAAACAGCATGAAGAGGCTTTGATAAAATTCTAAACAGGTATGTTTTCTACTTCCTCGTGTAGTGTGGTGCTGTCAGTTTGCTGTTGGTGCTGAACACGTCCGACCCAGATTTGGCTAGAAGAGGAGGAAAGCTGCTCAGAGTATAAATGCTGCAGACGCTGTGACGGGCAGCTCATTTTCCGAGCGGGATGTCCGTGCATCAAACA